GAGCCAGTATGTTTGCTTTTTATCTTCATCAATAACTCTAATGTTATCTATCTATTTTGGAAAATGTATTTGCATTTTTGTCGTATTATTTCACATCTGTGCCTTCTTGAAAAAGAAGTACAGTTATTATTGTGCCTGCAATCTGCAATTAAATTGTGGTTATTTGTTGTTTCTTAAATTGGTCAGTGTGATTGCTAGGCATTACTAAGTCCCTAAATATTAATTCTGGAAGTCTTGGGGGTGGGGATTGGTGCCAGGAATCAAAATGTAAGAGTGTTATATGGTGCTATTCAATATACATACCAGCATTTGCAACGTGTAATATTCCAGAAATTATTTTTGACATCTGAGAAGAAGAGCTCTCTGCCAATTTATCGCTGTTATTAGTTTTCCTCCCATTTGTATGAGCATAAGGACTTTCGATGTTGCCTTCTAATATACAAGTAAGTGCAGAGCAGCCACTCCATTGAACCCTGGACACTTCTTTCCTTCCAAGACGTAAAAGCCTGTCCATTCTCCAAAATGCCATCGCAAAGGCTTTGTGTATGTTCTCATACTCCTGGTTCATTCCTCTTGTCTTTTTGTTGATGGAAGAAAACAGGTCTTCTATTGCTACGTAGTCTTCTCTAAACACAGTACGAAAGGAATTGACCATTTGTTGCTCTTCAGGTGTCATTTGGTAGGAAGGATCAAATTTGGAAAGTTGATGGAGAAGTAAAACTGGGAGTTCTGTTGCTGTCAGCTCTGCTGCTGCGGGACCATAATATCCATCAAACAAACCAAAAAGACAGACATTGCCTCTAGTACCAAAATTATTCACTATGGTGAATTTATCTTTCATGTCAGCTTTCCATGAAGAATTCCTGTTTTCACAAATGGCTACTCCTTGAATTAATAGGTGACAGATTTTTTGGGAATATGTGGAACTCTCATCAATACTATCGAAAATCCTGTAGTATGCTGGTGTTCGTTCCTTGCAAATCAACTCAAAAGCATTATTAATGTTGTGTAGGATTTTTTCATTTAATGTATAAGATGATATTAGCTGAGAAATCAGAAACTGTCTCTGAACAGAAAGTATTGCGGGCGGTGGTCTTCTTCCGCGCATCCACTGCAAACCCATTGTGGCCAGGGCTGCATGTTGCTTTCTATGGAGAAAAATATGAGGTAGAGGAATTTCATTCTTGCATCTGGAACAAAGAAATGTGATCACGTCTCCATAAACCTGTTGTCCTTCATACGCTTCATCAGTTCTTGATGATGCTATGCTTTTGTTTCTAAGACTCTTTGAAGAGGAGAGTTCTTCATATGACTCCAATGTTGATTTTTTCATATTCCATTCTTTTGATTTCCAAAACACTCTGCAAACAGGATGAGATATAGTTATATGACAAGAATGATGCAAGGGGCATCTCTTCAAGCAGGCTCTTATCATTGCAATTTGCTTTGGCTCTTCACAGTCTAAATAGGCCTAGACTTGAATATTCCGATTCACCTCCTATGCTGCCCCCAGAGAGAATCGCTAAACCCAAGAGTTTGAGGTTGCTGTGAGCTGTGATGCCATGGCTTTCTACCACGGTGACAAAGTGAAACGCTGTCTCAAAAAAGAAAAAAGAAGGGTACATATGAAATTTACTAGGTGTAGAATATAAATGTCTTAACACAATAAACTAAGAAAATGCCATGAAGGCTATGTTGACCGGTCTGATGAAAGCATTTCAGATTGTATGTAAAACCAGCACATTGTACCCCATGATTGCATTAATGTACACAGCTATGATTTAATAAAAAAAAAAAGAAAAAAGAAAAAAAAGTTTATCAAATAAAGATATGAAGAAAGAAAATATTTTCGTACAGCTGTACATTTTGTTTGTGTTTTAACCTAAGGATTATTACAAAACAGTCAAAAAGCGAAAAAAAATTTTTAATTTTATAAAGTAAAAAAGTTACGGTAAGCTAAGTTTTTTTTTTTGGACAGAGTCTCACTCTGTTGCCCCAGGCCAGAGTGCTGTAGCATCATAGCGCACAGCAACCCCAAACTCCTGGGCTCAAGTGATCCTTTTGCCTCAGCCTCCCAAGTATCTGGAACCACAGGTGTGCACCACAACACCAGGCTGGTTTTTCTAGTTTTTGCATTTTTGATACAGTTGGGGTCTCTGTTTTGCTCAGGCTGATCTTGAACTTCTGAGCTCAAGCAGTCCACCCACTTTAGCCTCCCAGAATGCTAGGATTATAGGTGTGAGCCACCATGCCTGGCCTAAGATTAAGTTATTACTGAAGAAAAAAATAAGTTTAGCACAAGAATACAATGTTTATAAAGTCTATAGTAGTGTACTCTAAAGTCCTGGACCTTCTCATTCACTCACTACTCACTGACTCATCCAGAGCAACTTCCAGTCCTGCAAGTTCCATCATGGTAACTATCCAATACAGGTGTGCCATTTTTTATCTTTTATACCGTATTTTTACTCTACCTTTTTGTGTGTCAGTATGTGTAGATACACAAATACCACTGTGCCACAGCTGCTGACAGTACAGTAACATGCTAAGTGGGTTTGTAGCACAATAGGCTAGACCATACAGCATAGGTTTCAGTGGGCTACACCATCTAGGTTTGTGTAAACACATTTCAATGTCCACACAACAACGAAATTGCCTAATGATGCATCTCCCAGAATGTATTCCTATTATTGCAGCACGGATGTACTTACTTGTGTACTCTATCTCATCTGGCTTAAAATTACTGTAACTTTCTTTCTCTTATTTTATAAAAGTTTAAAAATGTTTAGCTTTTTGACTGTTTTATAATAATACTTAGGTTAAAAGAGCAAGTACACTTTTGTCCTAATTAAAGGGTTCACAAGAAAATAAATGAATCATTCCACAACTAAGCAGAACAATGAAAAGAACTGATAGTAAGGGCAAAATTCTTAGAGACCCCAATGAGTATAACAGCTACAGCTTGGGTGGCACCTGTGGCTCAGTGAGTAGGGCGCTGGCCCCATATACCAAGGGTGGCAGATTCAAACCCAGCCCCAGCCAAATGGCAACAAAAAAATAGCTGGGCATTATGGTAGGCACCTGTAGTCCCTGCTACTTGGGAGGCTGAGGCAAGAGAATCGCCTACACCCAAGAGCTAGAGGTTACTGTGAGCTGTGATGCCATAGCACTCTACCAAGGGTGACAAAGTGAGACTCGGTCTCTAAAAAAAAAAAAGCTACAACTTTTCATTCCTGTCCCCAGGTGTGGGCTAAAGACAGGAGAGAAAAGATGCAGAGTTGGAAGAGACTTTTCTGGAGAACAGGCATCTTTTTTAATACCCCTTCCTGTCATAATCATCTAGCACAGTATTCAGCACATGAGACCATTTTTATCTCACTTTATGCAAAATTTCTAGGGTATGAGATCTTTTCAAGGGCCTGTGAAGCAGTAGAGACCTGAAAAGAGATGATTTGGTTATAAAATATTTTAAAACCTGAAAAAAGTCAAGTTACTAACTTCAACTGTTTATGAATTTGACATTTTGAAAACTAGTCAATTGCAACTCAATTCATTTATAAATTGTATTTGGTATTGGTACATCTTCATGTATTATTTGTAATGAGGTTGTGAGGGCTACAATAAGAAGAACTAGAGAGTATCAGCACCTAAAATTTCTCAGGTATAAAACAAATATCCAAGAATGTTAGTCTTTTTTTTTTTTTTTTTTTGTAGAGACAGAGTCTCACTTTATCCCCCTCAGTAGAGTGCTGTCACACAGTTCATCGCAACCTTCAACTCCTGGGCTTAGGCGATTCTCCCGCCTCAGCCTCCCAAATAGCTGGGACCATAGGCACCCACCACAACGCCCAGCTATTTTTTGTTGCAGTTTGGCTGCGGCTGGGTTTGAACCTGCCACCCTTGGTATATGGGACTAGCACCCCACCCACTGAGCCACAGGTGCTGTCCTGTTAGTCATTGTTGAGATAAGAAATGAGCTCATTTGGTAATAATGATTATATG